ATAGCGGAGGAGCTAATTTCGATTCCTAGAACAGTTGACGAGTCGTTCCGGTCTTCTCGCCCTTCTTCTTTGTCTCATCTCACTTCATCCCACCCTCGATCCTCTTCTTGCAGTGTCACCGGCAAAGATTGCGATCTACGGGAGCCCGTCTCGCTCGCTCAGTACTGTTGGAAACTAGACGCCGGACGGCGGACGGACGGACGAACGGCTTAGGAACGTTGGTGGGTTCGATTTTGTGGTCGACGCTTGTCTGAGCAATCATCTTCGAGACGATGATGAACACGATGAAGATGAAGTGGGCGAGCATATTCACTGTGGCGGTCACCACGACGGCCAGTCGGGGCAAGCTCCCAGCGGCGTGGCTGCTCCCTCCAAGAAACCTGAGATCCTTGAGGCCGTTGGCCATGGAGGTGGCGAACGCGCGGCTCGGATGGAAAGTAACCCGAGAAGTTTACTTGATGGACAGCTACACTTGTACTTCCGCCATTCGCCTCTCACGCCTCGCCGAAACTGCAACTCCCATCGTGATGCTCTCGCAATAATAGCAAACGCAGCCAACAAGCAGCAGATGCGCACACAGCCAATAGCTTCCCGCCGGGAGACGGGGAAGAATCTCCAGCGCAACGTGACAGAACGGACAACGGCACGGAACACTTAGCGTCCGGCTGCGATTGAAAGGCGGCTTGATTCGATTTTTCCAAAGAAATTCCACACCGCCACCAAAGAGGTCAGTCGCCGTATCGTGTTCCGCGTCGCGTCGCTCGAAAAATCCCGTGACCACGGCTTCCTGAATGAAATCAGAGAAGGCCGTCGTGAGAGCCGTCATCGGAGGGAAGCCTCCGGAAATGATTTTCTCCGATTTTTTTGTACAAGGACTTGAACTATTTGGCGCCCACGAAATTCCTCGCGGTTCCCCTCAGAGTTCCCGCGAGGTTCTGTCCGGGGAGCTAGCACGAGGACCTTGTCTCGACCGGAGTAGCGCCGACCGGAGGTGATTCGACGCGTTCGAAACGAGGAACTCCGAGATCAAACATCAGATCCATTTCGGGAAACTCGAATCGACAAGGATGCACGGATAAACATGAATGTATTTCCATGACACCATGCACGACGATCTCATGTTCAGACATGAGAGTAACTCCCGTCAGGAGGGAAAACGGACCTACGCGCGGCTTAGTTTTTCAGAAGCCGCTTCGCCGAGGTTCCAGCTTTCCCACACGGGCAGTGGGTAGGTCGGCCGATTCCCCGGCAGTTAGGACTAAGCCAATAGGCCGAAGGGCTTAAGGGTTTGGAACGGTGTTAGAACATCATCAGGACGCGCTCAGGCCCATTTTTCTCCGATGGGGATGGATGCCAACCTTCAATCCTTTATAAACGTGGAGGAGCACCTGTTCCGTCCCTTGACGAGTAGGGGTGGGCAACTCGACCATCGGCGAAGAAGACTCAGAGATATCATGCTCATATTCCGTTTTGATGGGACAACGTGGTGAGAAGTGGGAATCCTCAGGTCAGTAATAGAATGATAACTATCGGTGTGATCCTATCGAATGTCGAGAGTATTGGTCTTATGTCCACCACCGTTCCAGTGGTCTCTGTCAGGAGAACGACGCGGCGAACAAGATCGTTGAATGAGGCGCCTCTCGTCTCACTTTCACATTTGTTGCAAGATTCGGAGCGCTCTCCTGTGACAGAATATCATGGAACGGAAGAGAGAAAAAATCAAATCTTGAACGACTCCGTTCAGCAATCAAGCCACTCAATGCTGCGCTACTCGAGTACCCTCGAGGTGGTCGCGGCTCGTACCACTCGTACTACGAGTGTACCGTGAAGCATTTGCTACGGGCGCGACGAGGCTTTCGTAACGGTTAAATAGTCGCTCATAGGAACGAGTGATACTCCAACAGCTGAAGTAGCAGCTACTCGAAAACGTCGAGTGTATTTAGGCGACCACATGACATGGATAGCACGAGGTCTCGATATGCTTATAAGGCCCTTTAACGAGAATGATCCGTCGCTTCTCACTCGGGTGTGGAAATCGAAGTGAAAGAAATAGGGGGAACACGAGAGGGCCGAGGGAATACGAATGGAGGGACGAAGTAAATGGCTTTATTACCCGCTAAACAGCCTATCCGAGAATTCATACAGCCGCGTTTTTGCCGTGTGGCAGGGCTCATGCTTGGCACGAGGCTCCATCCGAGCCGTTTTTCTGGCGACACTCGGCGTTCCATACCGGACCGTTCGCTTGAGAGACTCTCCTCTGAATAATAAGGTGCTAACTTGACTCGGCTCTTAGTTGTCAGTCAACATGATTCCGGTGAAAGAAGCTATCGACACTCGGTTTCGAGCTCCAAAACGAGCGTCGGACGAGAATTCGTCCGCGAGATGTTCGAAAAAGCCCGAGTTTCTGGATGACTGACGTCCAGCGCCAGTATTGCGCGAGGGTATGTCTGTGACTTTGTATTAAAGTGTGAGTGAGCTTCGATGAGCTGGCCCCTAATGTTAACGTCGTCAAGGATCGTTGACTCCGTTCCCCACTGCAGATTCCTCAACTGTGAGAAGACGATGTTGAGATTCCCCTGGTTTCGCCGAGGCGGTCTATGAGGTACCTACCTATATCCAACTTCCGACACGACTTCTCGCGTGAACCCGGCATGAATTCCTTTTTCGAATTTCTGCCCATAGAGCCAGAGGGCTTGTTTACCCGTTGATGTGCTTTCAATTTGAGTGCCAACGAGGTGCCAAATCGTATCCGTATCGGAATCGCCATACGGCTCTCAATCCAATTAATAGCAATCTGTTTCCATGGACCGCAAAGATGAAAATTGGTCGGATGGAGGTTTCCCCTTGTACCCATGTCGCTCCCTCGAACAAAAAAAACTGAAGGCTGCTCACTAGCTGTCCGACCGACCGACCGACTGACTGCCTGACTGCCGGCTCGGGCTCAGTCAGTTGCGCTTGCTAGCTGCCGCTGAGGCCGTGGTGCAGCGATGGGTGCTCCTGAGGCTTCTATGAATACAATACAATTACGCTCCCTGTTGGCTCAGAGAAGGGAGGCTTTTGAGGTGGTGGGTGACAGTCATCCAGTTAGCCACCTGTTCATTTGGTCCCCTCCGACTCCCTCGTTTGATCCATCCCCGTAGTGCCTTGTCCCCTTGCTCACGCACTTGCATCCATCCATGCTTTGCTCCCGGCCTTCTCTTCCGCCACCAGACAGACCATATGCTACAGATCGGACCGGCAAAGAGGCTAATTCCGAGAGCAAAGCTTCCCTCTATTGGTCGTAGGTTCCAACGCACAACATAGCCTCATAGTCAACATCGACATCATCATCGCCTTCGAGCTCTCGTCACTGTCCGCCAACAGGCTCGACCGGAAACTCCAGGAGCTTTGAATCTCGACGACCAGTTTTCTGAACAGGACAACGATCGACGCGCAGCCTCGAGAGTCTGAGCGGAAGGTATCGATCGGGAAAAAGTCCGTTCATGGTCTGTCCCAGATTTTTCCCGAGCTCAAAAAATATAATTTCGACTCTCCGAGGGTTCACTCGAGACGAAATAATCTGACGAACAATCGCGAGGACCGTGCATCGTCACAGGTGGTGGATGCGTAGGAGGAGGAAGAGGATATGCCGGGCACGTGACCGCCAAATGGTGGCAAGCTCGTTCAATCCGTAAGTTGACGAGTTCAGGACGACGGCAGATGGTTTCAAGTTCGTTCGTCTCTCCAAACTCCCCGAAACGCGAACAGATCGATTCCGGGCAGCTCGAGTTCCAAGCCGTGCGAGGCTCGGGCCGTCGTTTCCCCGGTCGTTGTAAAATGAACATCGTTTCGCTTCGTTCGGGTACGCTCGATTCACGCAGACGGCCACGCAGACAGATCGCTCTGCAGGCTTTTGACCTATCTATAGATAACCCCGTCTGTTAGCAGCCAGAGGATTGTTCCACGGCAGCTAAAGAAGCTGCTCAAAGCTGATAGCTACACTCGACTGATCCCATGCCAGGGTTCCAACCTCTCGAGTAGCGGCAGTCACTGCGCTCGGCTCGACGAGCGCTACCGGAAAGGAAAAGTTCAATCTGCCACGCGGCTGGGTCACATATTCAAATCGGGATTTCCGCAAACAGGAAGGAGCTACGACAGAGTTGCGGCGGGAACTCCGATTCGAGATGTTACAAACTCATTCCCTCCCCCACCGAAAGCGGTAAAGCGTTGTCCTGTCTCGAGACAACAGCGAGCACGAGAGGGGAAGGAGCAGCAGCAGCAGCAACAACAACAACATCAAGGACAACAACGAGGACAACGTCCCCAGGTCGGGCCAGGAATCGGTGCGCGGCATCTTCTGCCGCGTCGTCGGACAAACACCTACGCAATGGCTCACTCGAGTCCGATAGCTGATCATTCGTCGGACTGATAGAATGTCAGCTAGTCGTGGGCGCCCGCCTCGCACGTGCCCACCCGCTCACGTGTCCTTATGTCCATATGGAAGCAACCCTCGAGGAAGCCGCTCACACGGCACTCCGCCGACCTACCGGCCGGTCGCTCTCGAGCCTCACCTATGTCACTAGTTTTCTGGAGGAACGACCAGGCCTCCGAATGAGATATTTACGCCTAAATAAACTCGCAGCTCGAAGCTTATTTATCTCAATTGCTGAGCATCCGTGAGGGCCGGCCGAGTCGTGGGTTTGCTGGCAGCCTCTTCGGGACAAGCATCCAGAGAATCGGGCAAACAACGACGGCGGGTAAATTCAGACGATTTCGTTGGAAGAAACCTCGTCCGACCACCTTTTCGAGAGCTAATGTGGATGGTTTCGTGGATGGAGAAGACATGGTCTCTCCCACGAAGCGCACTCTTCGTCCCATTCTCGGATTTCTCGGGAAGTTCTCCGACATAGCGAAGAATACATGAATGAAAGTATGGATTCGTTTCGAGACGAAACCAGTGAAGCAACGGGTCTCGAGATGAATATGACGACCTTGCAAAACATACAGAATCCGCAACTCACCTGTCAATGATCACGGGGTCCGAAGGGGTTTCATTTCTGTTGCCGCAGCTCTTTTTATCACAACACCGACTGAAAGAATCGATTGCTGAATGTAGCAACAAGTGATCAAATGTGCTTCCTCAAGGTTTTAAGTTCCGACTCCACTCACCTGCACATAATTTCGTGCGTCAGTAGCACCCGACACATCTCAGGGTTCTTGTCCTGACCCTCGTACACAATCGCCTGCGAAAAAAGAGCGAATATGAAGCGAACTCCGAACTTCGAGTCTTAGATTCCGGTAGCGAAAACAAATATTTTCCAACGAACTCTGCCGAGGCTCCAGATGGATCTTTGATTTTTATCGCTCAATCGGCCGTGAATGCCTCGATTTTTTTTGTGCGACTGCTTGTGAATGTCAGTCGCCGAGGAAGACCCGAGTCCGTTCCCCGTCTCAAGAACGGTCGGTATCAATTGGTCTTAATACGGAGCGCTCAAAACGAACATGAAGAGGAAGAAGCAGCAGTGAGCAAATATCTGATTATACTTGAGCGGGTCCATTTGCAGACGACCTAGGTGGAGCGGGGTGGGTATACGGTGGGTGTTCTCCCTGAACCAACAGGCTCACCACAGCATCAGCTGACCATTAGAGAGCCGGACAAATATTCCGAGTGACGTCGAAGAGCATTGATTGGAACGACTGGGTTCTCGGAGCATGAAAGCTTTCGAAAAAGCAGCCGAACGCGAATCACACGCCGAAAAGAAATGCTGACTCGGAGGGTTTCCAAGACCGGCTAGTCGAAGTGAATGTTTCGGACATTGGGTCAATAACCATCGTCTTCATGGTCCGCGAGCATGTCGTGACCCATTAGTTCTCTGGGCTCTGGCGATCTCGAATATAACCGACTCCTATTAGGATTGAGCTCCTCCGACTCGGATTGAGGGTATCCTTGACGAATCGGCTCCCCCGAGAGGTGTTGCTATCGTGAACGTTTTCGAAGATATCACCGCAGACGATCGAGCAAAGGTTCGATGGGAGCTGCTCCATTCGTCAGCAGTCGAGATTCGGCATTTTCCGCGGAAAGTTCGGCGGTGAAACTTGCGAGACCCTCGTAAAAGCCCGTGGAGGAATCCTTGCCAAAAATCTCGCGAGAAGAGAAGTCTTCACATGAATCGAACGAATATGGAGCCCTATCCGGACTTAATACCCGAACGGCGAGACGCTGGACCATCTTATCGGTCGATTTCTGAGACCTGCATCCCGTGATGTGGTGATTTCCCGCGAATCGGTGCCAACTAGCCAATGGACCGGTTTAGGCTTGTGTTCGTTTATATGATTGACCGTGTCATGATTCCTGGATGTACATAGTGTCAAAAGGCGTCTGGAGTTACCGTTCTGCGACAGGAACCTAGCGGTGAGCTCCCTCAAGAGAACTTCTTCCACCGGAAGGTTCGCCAACGAAGGAACAATCGAAACGGGAAAGAACCAGGACCAAGGGAAGGACCGTCTTGATGAGAGAGAATCAATCATTTATCACAATAGAGAACATGTCGAAAATCATTTGGCAATGTATTGTCATCTTATTTTGCTGGCGCTCTCGCTGTTTTTCATCTGAAATGAGCTTCAAGTGGATTGGTTGCTGCCGATCCTGCGACCAACGAAGAAGACGGAGGAGATCGATGATAAACGAGGAAGAACGACACAACGACCCGACCACCGATCCGACCACCGGCACCACACGATGGATAGATGAAGCTGAAATCTGTCCCCCGATTGCCCTGGCTCCTCGATGCCCCTGCAATCTGTCGGTCCGTCCGGCGGCTCTACTTATTCTCCTCCGGTAGGGGCTCAATGTGACTCAGAGGTCGAGATCGAGCCCACTTAGGTGAGCATTGCGAGAACGCAAACGCCGGTCACTAGTTAGAAAAAATCACCCTCGGACACCGAGCGAATTCGCCATTCCTGAATTGGAATTCTTCGAGCGGTCGAGTCGACCACTCCTGGAGTACCTCCTCGCCCGTGCACTTCCTTGCCAAAAACATCGGAATTCCGGAAATTCTATGCTCCGTCAATTACGTCTGGCGTCCCTGTCAATCGGCTTTCAGACTCCATGAATATCGGAAGGAGCAGGCCGATAGGCTCATAGAAGTCTATCGCCATTCTCATCCGATCAACGGGCGGCCTCGCATGTCATCGTCGTCGTTGTTGTTTTGTTCAGAATGAGCTAATCAAAAATCAACACCGCATTGTGCGCCACTACTTTATGAACTCCTGGCGATCGTTTCGTTCGTCGGTTTGCTCTTTACCGGATCTCTCGGAGCATCGAATCAGAGCTCCGATTGACACAGCTCCAAGAGGGTTAGCAGCGGCGCGGCGGTTCCTCTCGTCAAATAAAGTCGAACTCGATATCGCGCAGACGAGCTGCAATTTTCAATTGCACCAGTGCATTGACAAGCTCTGAAAATGGGACAAATTTACAACTGCACGATTCGGAGTGCTGTTCGCGTGCACACCATCTGCTCCAGCTTCTGCGTTGTCGTCGTCGTCGCCACCGCCGCCGCTACGATCCAGCGAGTTGGAATGAGTCCGCTCTTGAGCTGACAAGCTTTATGTTTCCGACCGATCGACTGGCCGAATGAGCGAGTACGCGAGCGAGCGAACGACCGCGGACACCTACAACACTGGGGTCGTCAGAATAAGCAGCGAGTCCAGTGATGTTTGCGATGAGACAAAAGATGCCTAGGACCACGCCTACTGCAAAATGAACCGGTTTCCTCGCCGCTTAAATCTGACAGGATCGCTCCCGAGCTTCGAAAGCAGACGTCGAATGGAGTGGCTCAAGCGGTCATGCTTTTTCACTGCGAGAAATTGACCTCTTGCGCGGCCGAAATCCGCGCGGTTCAGATACCGGCCCGGGTCGTCCGGAGGCTCTGAACTCCGGACGACTAATGCGGTCCGCGCCGAGAGGAAAAATAAAAAGACGCAGAGCAACACGGAGACGTGCCCCTCCCTCGGACAGTCGATCGACTCCCGATGCCTCCTCGGTCGCAGCAAGCACTTCAGAAGAATATGACCATCGAAATCCAATCTCAGCTTGAAAGCTGTCCCCTCGCAAGAAAGGTGGATACGGCTATCAAATGTTCATTTGGTTCCGCTCCCCGCCGAGCGGCACCTACATTGCCCACACCGCCCACATCGAACTACACCAGCGGCAACAACAACAACAACTACAACAGAATAGACTACCAGCGCTTGCAGTACAGACAGTCACCCAGTCAGTCGGTCGGTCGGTCGGCAGGCTCTGGATTTGTGAGAGTGTCGAGGAGACCCTCGACCAGGCTTGTTAGACACCGACACGGGGTGTATGTTGTACGAAGGCTACAGAGACACTCAGTCAGTCGCTTGCAGGTGCGACCCGAAGGGTGACACTCGTAAGTCCATGAACCCTCACTTGCAAACTCATGGAGAATCTCGCGCACACACTCGCGTCCATCTATCCATACACGGAGAGATGGAGAGTCGACAAAAGTGGCGGTAATGTGGTTCTCGTTCTCTTCTTTTTAGCGACAACAAACGCTCTTAATTCAAGGAAACACCCTCCGACCGAACGGGTTCACTCCTGAATCAATGTCAATGACGAGGATCCCGTAGTAAAAGCTCATTCGATGTCCCATGGTCGACAGGGAACGCCCCTCCCGAGGGGCTCGGGCTTCCTCGTCTCGTCGTTCCAGGATGTCGCTCCGCACTGAATAAAACTCCATCGCTCCTCTCGATATCCTTTCGAATAAATATTTATGTCCATTCACGGAGCGTGGAGTGTGGGCTGACCCAAAGGGCCGAGAGACTAAAAAACAATTGTATAAAAAATCATTGTGACTCGCGGAAAAAATGTTTGATGCCCATCCGAGGTCCGAGAAAAAGGAGCAGAACAGATAGATCAGCCGGGAGCCTGAGAGGCCATCGGAGATAAAGTACGCAAGCGACGAAACAGCAAAAAGCAGTAAATTTGTCCGATGTCGAGGGCGTTGCGCTCGAAGCTGTTGTTCACCTAGGATCATAAAGGCAACTTCCGAAAAGAGGACAACACCCTGTCTTTCGTTCCCCACCTCATCGTGCTCGAACCCTCCAATCGACGATTGCCGGTTCTGGCCGCGCGGTAAGTACCTTAACCGGGCAGCCATGAGCGCAACCGCCTCCTTGTCCTCGCGTTTCCCTCCTCGGACGGGCGGCACGAGCTCAAGAGAAGCTTCGCCCGGCCTACAGTCACTCGGTCAAATCCTCGGCTGGACACATCATCCCTTTCGTGTACGGGGCGTCCGGGAAACCCGGAGCGACTCGGAAGCTTTTGCGCCCACTCTAGGAAACGTCAGAACAGCCCGAAAAATCTCCCTGACGAGGTATCTCCGGCGTATCTCGTCGCGCTCGAAGGTCCCCTCCACTGGGGAGCGATACTCGAGCACCGAACCGAATTGCAGAGCGAGCTTGCCTGTTGTATTTCATGCCTGATTAGCTCATAAAGGAGTGCTCGTCGATGTCGTGGTTCACTGTGGACATTGCATTCGATTCGCGCCCGACGACCCCTTCGCAACAATGTATGATTTCACCTCTTCCACGCGGTTCCATTGCAGCGGGGCAGCAATCTGCTCGGATGACTTCACTTATTGAAAGGGACGTGGGGCGAATCCCTCCAGAAAATGAATGAGACCCCTCGATAGGGTGCGATCATGCTCAAGTCGGAGATCGCGGTAGCGAGTCCCCCGTTTCTTACGGGAATAACTCTATTTCCCCCTTTTCCGGATATCCAGCGTATTCTCGAATTCTGAGGGCCGCAGGGGCGCATAGCACTCAATCGGAGGAGTACAGATTCTCCAACGCACCTCATCTGTCATGCTTACAGGAATCAACAGGAAGAAGCTCTCGAGTAGCTCAAGGGGATCCACCCCACATAGGGCGTCTCGTCAACCGAGTTCTGCTCCGAATAAAATTCTCCCCAAATTCCCTTCCAGTAAGTGTTCGAGTAGAGACACATAGACGGAAAACGACTCGAGCGAGCGAGCATTCGAGCGAGAAAGGAAGAGAGAGTGAGATGCGGAGCGAGTGTCAAGCCATGGCTAACTAACTCAAGTGCCGGGGAGTCCTCATTAAGGGGTGATGACTTCGACACTCTGAGAGACCACACCGGGAGGCCAATACTGCAGTGGAGAGCCAGACTGGCTGCTGGTATGCACTCACTCGCTCCGGCAGGCGAGCGGGCGAGCGAGCATCTATCTATGTGAGCACACGGCAGCCTATATACACTCCTCGTCGTCGTCGTCGTCCTCAGGTCGACTCGTAAAAAAAAACATACCTCCCATCCCGGATTCGGCGAGAGAGCGTAGTGTCATTTGTAATTGCAAGTATTGTTACATCGTTTGGAATGGATCGTGAATGTAACTTCGATGCAATGACAGCTCGGATGAATTTTTGTAACGGGACCCAACGGCTGATGTCAAAACTCGCAACCGACTCTCATGAGAAATGATTTCAACTTTGTACCAGTCTCTCTCGCAAGCCCGGTGACCGAGCGAGCAAGCAAGCAAGCAAGCGAGCGAGCGGCCGGAGAGCACAAATACGGAATGAAAAAACACGAAATGCTCGCCGGCAACAAATGATTTCATATTACTGGCGAGTGCGAGGGACACACCGATACAGCGACGATTCAGAGCTCATTGTCTCGGATACATCCTTTCACTCCCATTCGAAAGACATTATAGGCGGCTACAAATAGAAATTCGTTCCGCCCGCGGAAGGGGCGTAACCGGTGTGAGACTTGACTCAAACACCGATCGCAAGGCCTTGTCGAGTAACTTACCTGTTTTGTGACGGAGTCAATAAGTCTGACGAAGAGATCCTGCGTTAGCCGGGCGCCTGAAACGAAGTCATTCTAATTGTGAGTCGTTTTCGAAAAATCTCCAGCGCCGCTTTGAAGTCTGAGATGTACTCCGTAAATTGGAGCATATCGAGAATATCAGCTGGTGGACAGACCATTCGGTCTTTCTGAACTGCGCGCAAGCAAAACGAGATAGGTAGTTCTCAATCCTTCTCGCGAGCGAGGAGTCTTTCTCGTCCTCGCCTCCAAATTCCTTCGTAGGCGAATTTCTCGTGGGCTTTCTGCCGCGGGACGAATTTGTCCAGTCAGGGAAACGCAGTCTTTCGACCAGTAGATCGTTGGCAAACACCATCGATGTGGAGCCCGCCCCGCAGTGCCTAAACTCTGCCTTTGGAAGAAGCTTTGAAATCGTGTCCAGTTCGGCAAGAGCATTATTAAGAGAGCGCTAGGACCGGACTGGAAGATCAGACTCGAATCATCCACCTCGCTCCTCTGAACAACCTTACCGCAGGCTAGAGTCTTGCGCCGAAGGGGTGCTATATGGGAGCGAGCGAGCCAGCGACTGAGCCGTCCAGCCAGTGATCGCATGCTCTCTTTGGTTGTGGAGTTGGTTTTTCTACTCTCGCCCGGGGCAACCATCTGTCCCACGCTCACAATCGCCTCGAGCAACAAGCCAGCCCGGACACACAGCGGCGCAAGCACCACCACACCCTGTTAAGAGTTTCAAAAGTCTGCGTGCGTCGTTGGTCACTCGCATTTTGCGGAAGGAACGCTATTCCATGTTGCGGCACAACGGCCGCCGTCGCGCAAGGAAGGAACCTCTCGCTGGGACGGCTTTGTTTACGCGCTCGACCGGACGGGACGACGTGCGTCGCCCGAATCCCTGCAGTGATTCATGCTCGGAGCGCGCGCAGCTCGGAGCCAATCAGGAATCTTTCCTAATCCAAGTGGCAAAAATAATTACAGAACAAATCTGTTCCCAGACAGCAGCGGGGTTGTCCCCGGGAGCAATTTAGCGGAAATCTAAAGTTTCCTCTAACGGGGAGAAAGCCAGCTCGACAGGTTAGGTAGGCCAAAGGGTTTATGCAAATTTTCTCGCCGCGGATTTGGAAGATGGCTCTCGCGACGACGGCGGCAGCGGCAGCAGCAGCAGCATTGGTGCCTTCCTCACCCTGCGCGGTCGCTGGAGCTCCCGCATCTGCTGTGAGAATTCCGCTTCCCCTCCCGCTCAGCTGGGTGGCTGCTAAGACCCGATTCTCCCTCCCAGAGGAACCGCGTACGTATTCAGATGCATGTCCACGCCACATAATAGCTCCACTGTAGCTATAATCCGAAGATTACGAGATCGTGTGTACCAGTAACGCCGAATGAGACGGCGCTCCGGATCGACAGGAGTACCGGGATCCTGCTGAATTCCAAGCCCGAGCTCGAAGCGCCTGGACGCCGCAACCGCGCTGTCGTCGATCCCGGCTCGCTCCGATTTTTTCGGATCGGCTCATTCATCCCGAGATGGTGGAGACCGGATAAACTAAACTGGCGCCAGAGCCGACGACAGCATGAGATGAGTTAGCTGTAAATGACGGCCGGCGGTGACATTAAAGCTCAAATGTGCAATTTATGTGCAGGTCACACTCCAGGGCGTCGACAGCAGGGCCCCGGAGGCGTAAGGTAAACGCGAGCCGCACCGTAGTCTGCCGGCAGGTTGGTGTCGTGGATGGCTGGCCGACCGAGCGACCCGCCGATCGGTCCACTGAGTAATTGCGGCAGCTCTTCCGCGCGTCATTATACGCATATGGTTCCTGAATATCAATGTGATGGATTGCCCCGCTGTACAATATACAGCCCGGCAGCAGTTCGCAGGTTCAATCTTCGGCGAATAATCATAGAATATTTCGCGTCGGAGAATAATCGTTTGTCGGCTCAAATTTTACGGCGGCGCGGCCGCGGAGACTTCTCACTCCTGGGAAAAGCGCGAGCCCAGATTAAGAGATGGGTATCCGAGATGGATTCACCGCGAATTCTCTTGTAGTTGACATTCCCCGTGGATTTTCCAACGGTTCGACCGGGTCATCCCCAAGAATTTTTTTTGGTTGAATCGCCTCAGACGGGCACCATGTGGCCGAAGAGTCGAAACCATTCTGTGGTGAACGAGTACGTCAAGAAAAAGAGGAAGAGGAGACGGCAGACCCGCTCCGTTGTTCTTCCTATTCCATTCATGAGCCAATATAAATAAAATGTTGATGTATTATTCATTCATTCCGCGAATACTTTACGAGCCATTCTCCTCCTCGCTTCCTTCGCAGCCAACAGCCGACTGCACCAGTGGCAGCAGTGCAAACTCTTCCTGTTACAGTCAACGAGCGGCCCATCTGTCCGTCCGTCCACTCGGTACGTTTGTCCGTCCGTCGCCATCGTTGTCCTCTTCTCTGATCCGCTGTCTTCGTTCCCCTCGACAGCCGCCCCTCGTACTGCGCGTAATGGCCCGGCAGCGCTCCACAGTTCACTCTGACCATTTATTCGTTTATTTATTGGCTGGAGCGAGACCCGCTCATTCCGTAATTTTCCCCCTGACCGGCCGTGCATCGTCACCGCTATCATTCTCGTCTGCGCGACGTTCCGATCGTCGGAGAGCAGTGGCAGGCTCGCGTTAGCTATATTACAAATTAGAAATCAAAATCTCAACTCACCGTTCGCGTAAAGCAACTGCAGTTGGTATTGGATTCCGTTGTTGGTTTTTTGTCCATCAGGTTCCTGTAATGATCAGAAGAACTCTCCGTCAGAGCAATGGTGCGCGAGAGCCGGAAGGAAATCGTTCGGGAAGGCACTCATGTTTTCCGTCTCCTCACGGTGTCATTGATTCTTGACATCGCGACACGTTTACCCCATTCGGCCGACGTACGGGTGTCTACATTGGATTCCAATTATGCATGCGAACGCTTTTGTCCTGGCATCTGTTATTCACAGCCGACAGCTCTTGTACCACGGTGACGCAACCTGCTCACCGGCGATCACGAAGCTTGACCACGTTCACGAATTGACCTTACAAAGGTACACAGCGCAATCATCGTTGACTACGACACGAACTCATCCGCGAACACCCACTCGTCGGTGGGGTGGACCGACGACTGAGAACCGAAGCACTCATCTGTTCGTACATGCAGAGTATCGAAGCACCGATGCAGAACGGCTCGCGGTCCGACAGGTGGCCAACGAAGTCAACTCTGATTGTGACTCTCCGATAAAGTGAACGATTCGACCGGCCCTTTAAAAAGTTTAATTCCGCGAAAACGCGGCTCATCTCATCTCCAGGAAAAGGTCTCGATCCGTGTCGATACCAGATCGAAAGGAGGAACAGACCACCCGAACGAAGGCAGCATGACTCATCATGGACCGATGATGGTGCTGATGACGATGATGATGGATGTTATGAGAATCGAATCATTTTAGGAAAATCCACGTAGTTTCACGTCACAGGGTGTCATTGTTTCGAAAATTCACTTATGATCCTCTGATGTGAAAGGCGGCCGAGCCAGTTCCCATGATTGCGGTGCGTGTCATTTGGTTGACCAGTTCCCCGAATGGGTCCGTCGTTCCGTGTGTCGGGAGCGTGCATGTGGTCGCGTCAAACAGTCATCTAACCTGCTTCGGGAGCAGGTTGTTGCCCCAGAGCATCAGTGCACACAGAGAAGTAATCTCCATACGATGAGGTAGGAGGTGGATTGCCCTTACTGGGACTGGGCAGCGGAATAATCTAATTTAGTCGCAGGCGACGGCCTTCGAATGATCTCTCACGGGAAATTTCCGAACCGCAGTCGACTGATTGTTTGTGTGCAAATAATAAAAAAGAAGGACCGTCCCCCCCCCGAAATGTGAGCGCCAATCGCCGCGACGACGTGGCTAGAGCTCCTCGAATCCCCTCGCCGAATGGGATTCTTGCGCGGAATTCATATAAAATCCAAACAGGAACTCGAGGTCACATCGACTCGCTCGAGGGCCGGCTATCGCTCCCGATTCCTCGGTATGTTATCCTGGAGCAATATCCGGCCGAATTCGACTCAAGGTGTGATATGCTCTGAGAACGACCAGATGGTTATGAATGGGGCTCGTGACCTCAGAAGTATCCATCTCAATTTGCACTCTCTAGACGCGTGACTCGATGGGTCACGCTACCAACAGGCATGCCATCTCAGCGGTCCGAAAGTCAAGCTAGCTGAACCGGCTCACTGGCCGGTCGGCTGGCTGGCTGTTTTGCCAGCTAGCTAGTCCGCCAGCAGACTCTGCCCCGCGCTCCCCTCGGGCGATGTGCTCAGCCGATAATTATATGTGTGTGGGTATTCGCCGACGACCATGAACGCCCATAAATGGAACGCGATAGACTCGAGCTCGGTTTTGTCAACCGCTGCTCACCCATTAGATAATCAAGTTCTTAATTTGGGGTTTTTCTCAGATTTTTGAGAAAATTATCCATAAAACTTTTTCTCCACTCACGTGTTGTTTCTCGACGAAGCCGATGAATGTCGTCCGCTCAACTTCAACCGGTTGACCAGCTTTGTCGTAAAGGGCGATGACGAAATGGAAGAAGTTCGACTTGCGAAGATTCGACGGGGGCTGCTTCTCGAAGTGCGCCCGGCCCAAACCCGCGCTGGAACTGTATGTAGAAATATTTAGCTTTATTCTCTGTTTCGATCTATAGTCGCGACTCACACTCGCTCACTGTGGGCTCAGATATCTGAGGAGAAAGCATGAGGACTTGCTTCGGCCATCGCACCGACGCCGTTGGCGCGGCGGCGGCGGTCTAAGCCCTGACTAACGAGGCAAGAGAACAGAAATGAGGCCGTCGAAAAGAGAAGGTGCTAGCCATGGAAACCGGGGGGGAAATAGCGAACGGGATCGAACGGAACGCTTGGAGAGAAGGACAAGCTTTCAACAACAGACACAAAATCACAAGTGAAGACATTGTCCGGTTATGTCCGGCGGACAGCTATGTTCGCGACCTGTTGACAAGGATTTGGGTAATGCTCCTTAATGCCAGCTTAGCCCCCGAGAGAGGAAGAATGGACTACTACACACGACGCGGAGCTGTGGGGGAAAGAGATTGGCCGGAAGAAGAGCAAGAACAGAGCAAAGAACGAACAACTGCTCAGAATGGTCCGAGGTGTCTCTTCCTAAGAAAGGAAACCGAGCGGGACCTGACGCCTCGGCCAGCCGCGGGAAGCTAGGTACGAGAAACGAAACGACACATGAGCAAGCAGGCCGACCCGGTACCCCGGTCGGGGCAGGCGGAGCGGACGGATGGTGGCGAGGGGAGCGTTCGCGGGGAGCGACGAAACTCACCTGAAAAGCATTCTCTGGCTTGGCACCAAGTATTCGGTGCAAACTGTTTCCATGTTCCTGCAACGAGAAAAAATACAAATCAAATGAGGGTCCTCGCGATTCCTGCGAATCCTCCTACTTAAATTGTTCCTTTACCCATGACTATCACCGACGCCGTCGACGCAACGGAATCACTACGGAACGTCCGTGAGAATGCAAGAAAATCCCCGATTTTCTTCATTATTCGAGCTCCTCTCGTTTGTATTCATTCGGCTGAGCGATTATTGTGCATGATATCACAATTTGCAGGAGAACGCCGAATGACGACGAATGAGAATGATCGTCCTGTCTTTATTGGCTTACGCAATGTTTGTTTGTGAGGTCAAATATTGGGACTATACATATTAGAGAGTGGAGTCTTTCGCGAGGATACGCTGTATGCAACGGGTTGGCGACCGATGAGGCGAGTTGGCTATACTGTATCTTCTCTTTCTGTTTCCCTATATATTCGAGGTTTGTGTGCTCACAAGCTCAACACCAGCAGCACGGTCTTGCGCGGCGGTGTTTATGGGGGCCATGCATATTCATGCTAGCTTCCCTTCCTGCTGCCCTCTTGCCCCGCGCCCTTATTCTTCTTAGCTTCCCTAGGATACTCTCAGCAGGGCAAGCGAGCAGCTCGCGAAGGCGAAATGGCGGGTGAAACACGGAGCTCAAGGTGCGCGTCAAGATGATCTCGGTCGGGATTCTCTCTTGTGACTCGATGCGTCCCCGCGTCATCGGAAACGGCTCCGGACAGAAGAACGAATCGCACAATGGACAGAATTACCGGCCGCTTCATGGAGAAACCATCCGGTATAGCTGTCGACAGCCATTATCGAGCGGCCTGGACGAGAATTATCACGGCCGCCCTTCGGTCTTGCCTCACGGAAATTATAACGCTCAGTGAATTCCTCCGTGATTTCTCCCGGAGTTCCCTCGATAGAGTTACCGTCGGAAAGTCTTCAGAGCTGTCATGGAGCGAGCCAGAGTGGTTTAGGTGGACTTCAGGCCGGCGTCAAATCTCCGAGTTCGGACGGCGCCTGTAGGAACGACGACGGCGACTTCGGTGGCGGCTGTGTCTTGTTCAACGTGATGATGTCACAAATGCACATACCGTGTAGAACACACACTCGGCATCGTGTCCAATTTCGTTTCGAACAGATCTCCCCTTCGCGAAGCTCGCGAAGTGGCCACTATTTGTATTGACTGACTGACTGACTGGTCGTCCACTTGGCTAGCAGCTAGCAGTTCTGCAGGCCTGCAAACTCAGTCTCTGACGGATGAGTCGGGATGTCGCGCAGTTTCAGACGTCAGCACTCAGAAACGGCGAAGGAGCGTTCTTTTTCGGAGTTGCTTTTTTCCGCAGTCGATCAAACTTTTCTGCAGCGGAATCACCTCCTGTGTGACTGTGATCCCTCATAAGATTTTTTCTCCTGTCTTTGTCGCGAGACTTCGAAGGCTCTGACACCTCGTTTCCGGCAGGGCACGGAATAAAACAAGGAATCGGACTTCTGGACGCGTTCTTCGACTTTAAAAATTTCGAGCGCAGAACCAAGCTCACGGACAAGAGTGCATCTTGCGTATGCATGCGATGTCCCAGAAGAGAATGAGGTGGGTGATCCCATCAGCAAAGATCGGATCGCTCTCTCCTTCTCGGACTTCTCCTGCTTATGAGAGACGCTCAGAAGCGGAGTGAGTCGGTTATGTTTGAGTGAGGTCGCCCATGCGATAGGGCTATGACGCCCCACCCACAAAGGCCTCCAGAAATCTCCAGGTGACTTCGAATCGACCTCCGTAGTTGTCCCGAGAGACCGATTGGTCAGGAAAGCTGCGTTGTTAAGAGAACAACGAAGTCATACATAGATAGACACAAACACATGCCTGCGCGCATCCATCGAATCGTAGAGCGGAGGTGAGGATGCGTTCGGGAGCGAGACTCCGAATTCCGCAACACGACTTTGAGGACAGCCACCCTGAGGTTGTCTTCTGCATGAATGCCTCGTCGGCGTGGGAAACAGTCCGGCGGCCAGAGCGAAGACAACATGTTGTCGCGATTCATCTCTTCTCTACCGTTGAGATGGGCATGGGATTCCCTCCGATCAGACTACGAGTGCCGAGATTTCCGGAGCTATTTTCGGCTTTCCCGTACTTCAAAAGAGCTAGGAGTTTCTCCATGACAACGGCGTTCGGTCGCAATATGCTGGCCCCCAGCTCTCCCCAAGGCAAAACGTGGGACGCGCTGTCGAGGCGTTTCGAGGACCGGATTTTCGAAAGAACTCGAACTTCTACTGGGCTCGTCTACTTTTCGAGAGCTTGGAGTGAGCATGAGATGTCGAGCTTAGAAGCTTTTTTTTCCACCAACATCGGTTTAGATCTCCCTCCTTGGCTGCTGTCGCGCTCGTCTGGACAAGAAATCGAATTATCCGAATCCCTCTCACTGCAAACGAGTCGGGGCGCGTAATGGACTTAATGAAGTGAAGTCCACCAAGGGCGTCTCGCATTCACACACCCATTTAGCACTCCCTCTCGGAATGTACTCCCCCTACCAATGCCCCCGATCTCACTTTTCCGTTCTCCCCTCTGGTGTTTCTGAACCAACAACTCGTTTACTCCGACTAGGCTCCTGGGTCCAGGGTGAGACTTGCGTCAAAGAGTATTCTACAGCGAAATCGCAACATCCGTGAATTTGAAGGTTCGAGGGACCACGACAATTTCGGAGAGACTCGCGTTCCCTTGAACAAATGCCGCGTAAAGTCACATACCAAAATATTCGATTCTCTTACAATAAAGAGTTCGGGCTGATTGTGCAAGCAGTGTCTCAGACCGAGCCAATACGTGAATTCGCGAAAACGACACTGCAGGGATAGACGGAGATTATCTCAATAATCACGAAACGCCCCAAGATATCGAGATCCGCGAACTGAAGATATTTTCCTTCCATTCATCTCCGTGAGGTTTCCGGCAAGAAAATAATAATCTATCCTCGTATTCATGCGGCCTGCATGATTCGACGAGTCCGACTTTCGGACATAACATCGTGTTGTCACTCGGCCCACCGAACGAGTGTCCATGGTGGAGGCGTCTGCTTAGAGAGCCAGCGCGGACCAGCGAGTACGACGACAGAATACGTTTGGCAAGGAGGAGAGTATGCTGCGTATGTTTTGGTTCGAGGACGGTCACATGGCTTCGTTTACGTTCGCCGACCTCGCTATGACCGACGGACCGATCCGTGGCTTTCCCCCATTTCCTCGTCACTAAGCGACCTGTTCCTACTTCACGACGTAAACTCCACGCGCTTACCTGCTTTGGTCGAGCATGGTGGGTTGCATTGGCCAGCCTCTTCCGAGTTGAGCCGTGGCCAGAGGTTCCTCTTTGAGTGAGGCCATAGGCCCGCGAGGCTGTAGGCCAGGATCTTGGTGCAAACCGAACATCATCTCCTGGCTGATGCGGCTGTTTCCGTCTTTGGTGCGAACTACTTCCCCAGAGTCACACTGGCCGCCGACACCGACACTATTACACAAGACACCAGTTCAGGAGGGTTTTCGGAATGCTTCCGAGAACACCCGGTTGCTTCAGCCCCGGCGGTCACAATCGGTCAGGCGGCGGCAGTTGCCCGCCACAATCTCGCACTTGTCGTCGAAGATTCGCTCGGCACGTTCAGTTCGACAGACTTACTTCTTGATTTCAAGTCAAGTACTTCTGGGAGCTTCGGACGGACCGACTAGTTTCTGCTCGCGCGCGCGCTCTCCGACTCTTGAAAAAGCTCTCTCGCGGATTCGAAATAAAACGCTATCTCCGTTGTGCTGGTCGCACTTTCAATCGGTCAGCGATCGATCGGATCAGCTGACATCAGTGTCAAAGGCGAGACGAAGTCGTTTGTTTTGGATTCACACTGACTGAGACTAGGAACGATGCACCGCCCGTACTCCGGACGTCGCTTCCAGACGAAAATCACCACGAAGTTGCCCCGTAGTGTTTCGGCAGTCGGAGATTCAGACCACGGGTTCTCGAGCGGTTTGTCAATCTGTCAGCGGCGCGTGGCAGGAGCTGCAGCGGCTACGGCGAACGAAGTTTTTCTTCGCGAGGACGAAGGACAATTCTTTTCTAATGGACACGAGGGAAACGGGCATCAGAATAGCAATGACGTCTACGGCGACGACGAAATTCAGCTTCGGCACGAGAGATGACGGAGACAACGTTTGTCGCACCGCGTGGCTCACTAATGCTTCTGTCTGTTGACGGAAATCGCGTAAAAGCCAGCAACTGATTTGGGGCGTTTCTAACGAGTAACTGTTGATTCGACTCGAGTTCTGTTTAGAGGCTTTGGTCGTGTTAGCACCGGTGGGCACTGGGGAGTCAGGGAGGCTGAACAGCTCGAACTCCTCGAGGAGCCGCCAGTCCCACAGAGGCCAACTCACTTGTGTGCGATCCTGCCCGACAGAACGGAGAGCCGACATGTCCCGAGGGATAAAGCTCCTCCTCTATAATCATCCTCAAGTGAGGTCTTCAATAAACGAGGCGGAGCTCCTCGCCGTCCGCCAATGGCCGAACGAACTCGAACGCGCATGCGCTCAGACACTTCAATTCCGAGTGCGCGACTGGCGGCTCCTACTGGTGGAGCCTTTTGGAACCTTGGTCGAGATGCGCCCAGTTTGAGTTCGGACGTCCACCGTCTAGCGGCTCGGGTCCCGGTTGAGATCTTCGAAATAACCGAAATACGCGTCGACAATCCAGGGCAGTACATGATAAGTAGGTGATATGATTGTGGACATTTCTCCAGACGCTATAATTGGCGCTTGTCACCGCGCATTCGGATCTCGGAATCGATTCCAGACCCTGAGTCCGGTCCAGCCTCTACGGAGGAGGACAATGAACTCGATCCGAAAGTTGACAATCGACAGCGGAAACGAGGGGAATCATTCACATTTCACATCCGATTACGACTGACGACAGGGTCACCGTAACCACAGACGAGTTCAGGTGTGGGAAATGGTATTGAAGCAAGTCCCGTTTTTCCGTGCCTCAAAGAAGCATTGCGCGAGAAGAGCTCCGGAGTAGCATTGCGACCAGATTAGGTTATGACGCCTGCCATTACTGGTCCGACGTGAGGGACGTCGAAGGTCCCCGGGCGTGAAGGTCCCCGGGCGTGAAGGTCCGCGGAGCGTCAAGTGGCTCCGGATCGTGTCATGAATTTCTTCCGTGATCCTCTTGAGAAGATGCTCGCCAATCTACCTCAGATCCAGAGAGCTCGCCAAATGTGGATCCGTGACGGAATTGAATGGCACGCTACTCCTCGAGCTCGAATTATTCATGTCGATCCGAGAGAGGAACTTGCAGATGGCCGAGGACACCTTCCGCGCTTGTTTGTCTGATGCTTCTCTAGGAGCGAAGCTCGAAAGCGTCAGCATTGCAAGAGATCTCCATAGAGGTGATCGATCCCATGTCTTGCAACGGTCACGTCATGTCTTAAGTTTTTCCGAACCAGGTCGTGTCTCGGAGAAATTATCATCGAATTGACTTACCCTTCGGAAAAGTTATCGCTCGTTTGAGAGAGATTCGATGAAACCTCGTCACGAAAGAGTCCTCTGAGTTGATGTCCTCTGAGATGCGGCAACGGGAGTGGATACGGGCTGTACAGGCTCCCATGTGGATATCCAGCACAGTCCGCGTACATTGCGCCGTAGACAGGCCGCATGAAACCACCAGGGGATGATTGATCAGAACAGTCCGTGGAGATGTCGGTGGAGATATCATCAGAGGCGCTCATCTGCAAACAGCCAACGTCACGTTTTTCCGTGACATTCCAGTTTCCCGAAGACGGTCCCCGATACTCTCACTCGTGAGAAACACTACGTCTACTATCAAAACGGCTGCGTTTGCACGAACGGCACTGTATTCCCCTTGCACCTCGGAACACTCACTGCAATCCCCAGGCAGGCTTCGCACGGCTGGTCTACCTCGATGATGCGATGCTAGCAGCCCGATGTCACGTAAACACAAAAAAAAGATTTCTCGTATCCAAAGCTGTCTTGAGGCGATCAGGTACTTCTCAGAGTTCGCGACGGAGCCCAAAAGTATGACTGAGTTCACAATGCAGAAGGTCTTCCCGCGTTCAACAGGGGAAAGGGAACAAGCTCACCTCCTCAGTCCAACATCGCACACAGGTTCACAGAACTACCTACCTCTGTTTGTCTGTCGGTGCGGGTGTCTGGGCCTACTGACTGGTTGCTTCTGTGCACGAGAAATCCCTCTCAAAACACTCGATGTCGCATTATGTAGGGCTTCGCACGAGCGCCAAACGTTCTATCGGGATTCCCCCCCGGCGCCGGCTCATTGATTCATTGAAAATTATCGCAACCGTTTTCGATAACCGACCCAGAGGTAAATGGTGGTCATTGCACGTATGTATGTCTAGAACCTCGAGAATCTAACGAACTCGCCTTCCTGGACCGGATTGGGACGAGGTTCTGTACCTAGCGCAAGCCCCTTCCTCGCAATTCTCAAGTGGATATCCTGGGGCAGTCGCGGTAGTACAAGTCGGAATTAGGCCTTGTCCACAGTGTGCGGGTCGCGCAGAGGTGGACGTCCCATCGTTACCACTCTTTCGTTCGCCAGGAACATCCGTTATCCTCTGGCGCTTCCATGCTTCCATGAGTCAGACATGGCCGTAAATGTCTAAATGTTTCTTAAGTAGTTGTCGCGGGATAGCGTCAGCTGTCGACTCGAACTGGGAATAAGTCTTCGCGTTTCGAAACGGATGCCTCGCTCGAATCGAATTCGTCCACTGTGTGTATCGAGAATCTGGCCAATTACGGCCCGCGTTTCCGGGCTCCGATACAATGAAGAGACGCAAATGATCCGTCCTGCAAGCGTAACTAATCTCAGACGACCCAAATTGTTGCTGAGCGAGGGCTCCCTCGAATTTCACGCCATATTTCTGTTGAAGCTCGTGCATGTTTGTTCGAGTGGCTCCCGTGCCTCTGCTCGAACTAATGATCGAGATCATACGAAGCTGGAACGAAATATCGGACTCAGGCGCAAATAAGCTCGATCCTCACCGATAGTGCGGAGAAACCTCGGTCTTGTCAAACGATGCGTACAATTGTTTTTTCGTACCAATGCGATTTCGACGGTTCATCTTCAGCTGAGAGAAACAGCAGCCGATAGATTGGTCAATCCATAACTGGGGTTCTTTTCGGATGGGCTGACACGTTATGCATAGCCCGTCTCTTCAACCCGTGCCTCCAATGTTCGCCGCTCGCTGTAATAACATTAGCGCTGGGAGCCGCTCATACCATGGGCGGCCTGTCAGCGCATGGGTCGTCATCATTAAAACGTCCATCCTCATTTCCATAAATCGGTTGACTTCATAAATGTCTGTGATGATCGTGACGTCGTCGACAGGTCGAGCAATCTGCATATCGTATGAGGAGCTCGTCGCGGAGCCTCGAGGAAACTCACGCCTTTGCTCCACCGTTGGTGAACCTGACTCAAATGCCAATGATTTTAATTCCCGTGATCGATGTACTCTATCTAGTTCCGGAACGAAACTATATTGATCAGGCTCTTTCGACTTCTAGCATATTGTCGGGTCCCGACCCGAGCTCGCTCCCGGGAGCTGAAGCCTAACTCTAAGAGCGAAGAGCGGTGTACTGAAATCTACAAACATGCCGGTCGAAGATAGTAACTCTCTCGAGTGAAGCCTCCCAGCCAACTCGATTCGTTACAGGTCTCAAGATTTTGGATTCCATTTGAGAGACTCTGTTCATTCCGGGCATTTAATTGCAGGAGCCGCGCACCCTATACGCGCTGCATATCGAGACCGGGACAGATGAGGCTGCTGGCCTCTCCATGGAGAGTCTCCGAAGTGGACTCTAGGGAACCAACAAGTTCGCGAGTTTCGATCTAGACTTCGCCAACTTCGAGCGACTCGGACACGGCTGGGATCGTAAACTCCGACAGGACGCTCGAAAAGAGCAAAAGTTACTCTGTCGCTACAGCCGTTATCCAGTCGGTGTCAAATGAACTCCAAAGCGGATTGACTCAACTGCCCGTCGGACGGGACGCGATGAGGGAGATAGAGCGAAGCTAAAATAGAGAGTCAAGGCTTGAAGTTGTGTGTGAGATCAGAATTGAGAGCTGGACAGACTAAACTTCACAACTCGAACTTTCCCACTGAGCTGCCCTCACTCTCTGCAAATCTCTTATTTGAGTTCTCGGAGTCGAAAATCTCAGATCTTCGTGGCTTTTGGCAGCCAAGTAATCCGAGGAACCGATATCTATAGGTCGCCATCATACTAGGTACCTACTCCGAGCTCCTCTCTCTGGCGGTTGTTCCAAATGACGGGTCAGCCCATGGATCGGGAATTTCCAGTGGAGAGCTCTCGCGACGGCTTCCTTCTCCTTCGAGGAAATGAGATCAGGGCGATGTTCC